TGAATTGGAGAAAACCGGTACCATGCGAATTACAAGAGGGATGTAGTTTGGCTATATGATGAAGTGCTTCAGCCCCGCTATCACCACCTGGATTCCTCAACACTCGCGGTAAGGAATCAAAAGAAACAGATCCTCAAAGAAACCATTCGGAAACAACAAAAGGGACAACATATGCTAGCCCTAAATAGGACCGGACCTGAAAGAAGATAGAGATCTAAAAGAAGCATTTCAGAGGGGAAAGAAGCCCTGTACGAACACCCACTGTAATTAGTTAAGTTAGCCGAGTGATGCCTCGTGCTCCTCGCGCGCAGGCTTTACATGACCCCGTGCTACCACCGTGTTTGCCGATCGCCCCGTGAATATATCATATCATATATAGTTCGCTACGGTACTGTACTATCAGATTTGGCTTCGGTGAGTGGGTATTACCCACTACCTACGTCACCCCCATCGGTCGACGGGGGAGCGGGTGGGTGCAGGAGGGGTCGGTGGGCCAAGGTATGGAATGCCTAATCATGGTGGGGAGGCTGCGCTGGACTCTACCGGAGATTTGAGGAAGAGTGAGTATTCATGATTAGTTGTTCATGATATCTATATTACTCGAGAAAAATAAGGAAACAAGTGGTTTTGAAGCTATGGTACATAATGGGAACAGAAATTTTGGCGGGGAAGAGCCTTACAAATAAAGCCAAGGAAATGAATATAGGGACTTTACCAGATGCGAGGCGGAGGATGGGGAGTGTGGGGAAGTTGGGGCGAATGGCTTACTCCCCCTCGTCATCATCATCGTCATCACCAACGCCCTCTTCCGCATCGGTGGTCGGCGAGACGGGCTTTTTTGTGCGTCTGGAGGAGGACATACTGCTCTTGCGGCCCATGCCTTTGTTTATTATCCCGCTGCCGCCCATACGGTTCATACCCACGCCCATTTTGTTGCCCACATTTCCCATCGCACCACTCATGCGATTGCTCACGCTGTCCATCATGTTGCTTAGGCGGTTGCCGGTGCCACCCATCATGGAGGGTTGGCTCATGGGCACCATCGTGTAGGGCATCACAGCCAGCCCCATGCCACTCATCATACCGCCCATCCCGGGCATACCTCCTATGCCTGGTGTGCCCATCGTAGTTGGCATGCTGCCCATCCCGGACATGTCCATCATACCTCCCATCCCTAACGTCATGCCCGGGATACTACCCATACCCGGCATCATGCCGGAGATCATGTCTGTCACCACACCTGGCATCGTGCCTGGAATCATGTTTGTCGCCATATCTGGCACCATACCCGCCATAAATTCTGGCATCATACCTGCCGTCATGACTGGCATCGTCCCTGGCATACTCCCCATACCTGGTACGCCGCCTATCCTAGGCATCATACCAGGGTAGGCCATAGAGTTCAGGGCGGTGTTGGCGGTCTGGCCGAGAGCGCCGAGGATCGAAGAACCAATACCTGGAGACGAAGCTGGAACCGGCTGGCCGGGAGCTAGCGGCTGGGTAGGAGAAGGACGGAATATGCTGGTGAGAGGGCTGGAGGAAGTGCTGCTGGCTGCTGTGGAGCGACCGGGGGTGGGGGGGAGTTGTGGGCGTCGACGGTTTCGGCGGTTGGGCCACCGGCGGAGGCGCGGCAGCGCCGGTTGCGAGAGGACTAGCAGTGCCGGGAGCTGGTGTAGGACCGCCGCCCGGAGCGGCAGGCTTTGGTGCTGCTGCTGGTGGCTGCATAGGAGCGGGTGGCTTAGCGCTCGGGGGTTTCTTTACCAAGCTTAGGAGACTCCTACGAAACACAGGCTTATTTGGCCCATCGCGCTTTATCCTTTATGAATGCTAGTCGGTCTTCAATCATTCTCTGAAACAGAAGGGCAATTTCCGGGCAGCGGATGTTCACTTATGGTGGGTTCGTAGGGGATTGAGTTTAGTCCTGCCTTCCTCTGCTACGTCCCTGTGCTTTCCAGTCTTGACGCTCAAATTTGGCTGTGCAGGATCTTGGCCTGCCAGCGGAGCACATGCTGCGAAAACAAACAGGAGCACGACGCAGATTGCGGTTGGGAGCTTGAATCGGGCCATTATGGTGGCCCGAGGAGGGTCAAATCCTCACAATATGCGTACGACTGGTGCGTCACGGTGGAGAGTGAGGTTGGGTTGACTATGTATTCATATTTCATCAGTTTGCAAAATCCGAATTATTTTGATAGAGAATCGCTCGCCAGTTACTCAGTTTGGTCGAAAAATATGTGCGGATGGAGGAATCAACCTGAGATCAAATCAGGTACGATAAGTGACCTGACCTATGGGAAAAGGGAAGGAAGAATTAATGCTCTAGAAAACCTAGAGCCGGGAGGTCTGTTCTCTTGTACCTCATCCTAAAACTCCGGAGTTATGTTCTATTCGCATATACGGTGACTTACCCCCGGCCGGTCAGCGAACAACTTCAGTGGCTTCATTCTCGCCTGCTGCATTAGGGATATCTGGCCGAAAGGAGGTCGTTTTCGTGATACCTGGTGAGTAAAGGTGGTTAAGGGCGAATGTTGGACTGATAGAGACGCCGATAGGGTTAACTTCTATGATATCTGGGCTAAAATCACTGGCTGTCTAATCCTGCTGACCGCTCTCTATGGTCCTTCGGATGTGGCACAGGGAGGCAGTCTACAGTACATATCATGACCGACCGAATCCATGGCCTGCTGTAGCTCATACCCTCAGGCAGAATCCATTAAGTGGCAGTACCAGTATCCTGTTTCAAAGGCTTTCCGACGCTTTCCGTCGGGTTCTCTACAGCACCCGAGTGTCATAGCTCACAGTATGATACCGGCTCCTCCTTTTACTTTTAGGGTTTCAAACAGCGCAGAGCTTTTGCACAATCGGCTACTGGGAATTGGTGGGTGCCGAGGAATTGCACTGTATTCGATCGCTGCCTGCCAGCACTCTTACAACCCCGGCGAAATAAAGGCACTAACCGTCTGCGCAAGAACTAGCCATCGCAATGGCTCATTAGTGGGGGATTACCAGAGTAATTATTATCTTCCATCAACCCCGGTGGTCACATTATTTTGACCACGGGGTTGAGCACGTTATCTTGTAGCGAGCGGATTTGCCTGAGTGGGCCGACTCAATCAATGGCGTTCGAGTTTCTTCCTCGGGATAGTCTAACAGTTCTATTTGCAAAGAGCTGGCACGGGTATCCGCACCCGAGCACGAGCGGTCCCGCGCCCGGCCGTTCCGGGGGTTTACCGTGTATTTTCGGGTTGGCCAATTGAGGATTTTAGTCCGAATTTGCGTATCGTAGGGACGTAGCACAAATACTCGGATGCCGTAAAATCGGTGTTGGACAAACCGGACACCTGGGTTGGGAGTCTGCATGGAGGTTGTCCTTCGATCGCTGTAGAGCAGTTGTCGGGAAAGGCTCTGTTAAGGATATAGGATTCGGTTGGTTCGAGATAATCTCCGATAGACTAGGTGTTTGCGAAAGCACAGGTGCACGGCGGGGTGGGTGGTTAGGGCTATTTTGTTGGGCGCACTTCGCGACAAGAGTTTGTATGACATCATATCGTAGAACCTCATGGTACTCTGATGACCTTAACCTAGAGTTTGAGCTGGAAGGGTCTGGGGGACGGATGAGCGAGAATTATGGGGATAAGGGTACTTGCCTGCAAGTTGACCGAGGGAATTAAATCCGCCGAATTTTTGTGAAGACGCCATTTCTCCTGTTTAAAACCGCGTCGCGAGAAGCTGGGCTTTTGTAGAAGTGAGAAAGTTTACAAAGATTTGGATTTGGAGGGATCGGGCGGCTCTTCTCGGTCTTGCCGGGAGTAGACATCCCATAGGCCCGGGGCACGGAGAGCTGCCCTGAATACCGGCACCCCACCGGATAATTTGACGTGAATGGGCCAGATTGAGGTGCCGTGTAAGACAATAATCTCGGGCTGATGTGCTGTATCGTAATACTGCATCCTTTGTGAGGGGTTAGTCACGAAATTAGCCGAGCAAAGGCCCGTATTGGAATAAGGTGGCGGATTTAGGAAAGTAAGGTCGGTCGTCGGTGCACCTGTACGGTGCGTTCTATGAGAGCGCTCGGTACAGTATGATGCACTGGGTCCACGGTGGGTGAAATTTCGTAATCTCACTGCACCGTAGATGGCCCTCGGTCAGGGCCGATCTGTACCTTGGCAAGAGGCTTGCACTTTCGAGGACTATTGGGAAGAGCACCGGTCTGGAACGCTTTTTCATTGACTGGTTTGGTCGTTTTCCAACTAGCATCATCGCGGGGATGAGGGAGGCGGATCGTCTGGGAGGCGAGGCAGAAGTGCTATACGAGTACCGTGCCCGAGTGCCGTACAGTGCCGGTTGGTGGGTGCGCAGGGTGAATGAGACAACGCGGAAGGGGTTGGGCCACGGGGAGCCCTTTATAGGGGTGGGAATCCGTGGAATGAGTTATCATGACGCTGCAAACCTTCGCTTTCGGCAATATGTCCTCCGGCTATCGGGTTTGCTTTCTGTGGTTTTCTTGTGAGTTCACAAAACAGGGCAATTGGTAGCGGAGCAAACTCAGAAAAGCAGGAGTAGTGGGGGGGGGGTTTCGATTGGTCAACACACTAATTTAACATGGCCAATTGCCCCGTGACACTCTGCTCTGAAGGAGTTTATCTTATCAGTGCCTTTGCTTGTGTCTTCCATGTTCACGGCAAAGTGCGGTATGTAGGTGAAAGGGTTCCTCATTGTAGATAAACAAGAGTAAAGGATGGTTCCGGGAAGAAGAGGGTGAATCTGTGTGATACCATGGCGGTGGTGGTTGTGGTGGTAGGTAGGGGATGTGAAGATTGTTGAATAACTTAGCGGTAGCTCATCATAGCCTGGGAGAGTTCGCTTAGGGGCAGGGTACCTGTATGCGGTGGGCCCAAGCGCCGTACCGTAAATTTATCGATATCATGTCATGTTCTGGTTCAAGCACCACAGGACCTCCCTACCGTGCTTTGCTCTCACATTCACAGCCTGGGCTTTTCACCCAGATCGCCTTGGCACTCAGATTCAAGCCTTTGGTCCAATCGGTGAAATCGGTGAAGCTCGGCTAAATAGCCAACTACGGCACAGCTCCATGTCACTTGCAGTAACGGTAGCCCTGTCCTGGGTGTCTCGGTCTCACTTCGGGCCCGGGCTATGGAAACTTCAATGATCGTTCGCTCCACAACTGACCTCCAAACGGGTCACCCATTACAGCTTACAGTATGATGGATCTGCGGTAGTCGAGTGCGAGCGGACATATATACCGGTACTGCATTCCTGCCCCTGCGTGTGACTGATATAACGGGGGTCCGCTCGCCGATGTATATTTAGCGGAGGTGCCGGTACACCATCACGAAGCGTTGGCTCGGATTATGATATAAGCGTTCTCATCGTGAGCACATTACCAACCATATATAGCCGTAGCCTGGAATTCGGCTGAGAGATCCGGGACGGAAATGAATTTCTGAGGCAATCGGATACCATGAGGCTGATGGTGTTTGCGGAATTCCCGGTTTGCACTACTCGTACAGCCAGGGTGTAGTTCCATCTGCCGGTTGCGCTCAGTGGACTTTCATATTATCGTCTCAGTTGAGAATTCCTGAATGCCGCTGGGCATTCGCTGGCTATAACTGTGTCTTGCTGTTTGGTAGATTATTTCACTCCCTTCTTCTGAACCCTTGTTGAGGGGTGTCTGCTCAAGTACCTGTAGTCGATGCCTATCTTTCTTGCCGTCCAAGTCAACTGCCTGGCCTCGGCCTCCTTTTCTTTATCCGGGGTTGTCCGCCGAGGGGAGGGCGCGCACTTCTATTTTCTTCTGCACGAACGGAGGTTTGATGAGATAAGAATGAGGGAGAGGTGAGGGGTTCGACATATGTAAAGCTCATTTACGTATATAGAGTAATGAGCATTCCCTCCCCTTGGCGGGCACTGTACACATTCCTCGTGTAATACCACCCTCGCCTGGGCTCGGATACATAATAGAAGACTTGGCCTCCAACTCCTCCCTCCCTTAGCGTTACTCCCTCAAACCAACAACAATTTCAAAGCCCGATCCAGATGTTTTCCCTGTCCGAATTGATTGCTAGAACTGCCCGTTCTCCGAGGAGAAGCAGTCTACCGGTCAGGCCCCTTAGAAGAGGCCCCTCTGATCCAAGAACCTCCATTGCTCATGAGGGAGCTTTGGTAGCTGGCGCTCTGAGGGTGACTGTCAGGCTTCGTGGCGACGTTGACGGAATGGTCCATACTACTTCAGTCACGTTCCAGTACGTATCATATTGTCCCTTCAACTGGAGAATGTGGGCTAACTCTTGGACAGTGCTTTCGATGGTCTCGAGAGGCAGATAGACGCAGCACTCAACAGGCATTTCGGGGCAGGAGCTGTCGGAATTGCTTCTCCCATGGGAAAGGTCATCACCGAAGATTATCAGATACATCAACTGCGTTACCCGGGCTACTCATATACCTTCTGCAACGTGGTGTACGACCGGGGGTACGAAAACCAGCACCCGCCCATCACAATCCCTTCTCAAAAGATCCTCCTCGAAGTCGCCGATGACGATATAGCTATAGACGGCGGAGAAAGAATACGCTATGTCGACCCCGCTTTCAATTACAGCACCGTGTATATAGATCACGCTGGGCTAGCCGTCACCAGGCCGGAGCAACACCACTATCAGAGGCAGCTTGCGGTACAGAGAGGCGACTACTACGTCCCTGGCAATGACCTTCCATCATATGAGTGTGTTCCACCAAGAAAGCTGAGCCAGAGAGTTGGGGATGCGTGTTTTGCTTGCGTATGCTGTAGGAGTTGGATAGCGCATTTTTTGGAAGAATATGGGGGGCAGGCTTTGGAGACGATGGCTAGTAGGGGTCCAAGCAATTGGCGTCCGGCACGGCGGAGGGTTTTAACAAACCATAGGGTGATGTACTGGCATGATAGGCCGTTACGTGCCAGGGATTTTGATGGATTGAACTTGGAGCAGAGGAGAACGTTGGTGAGGGTGAGGGGGAACGCAATAACTGTATAGTGGATCTGTACTTAGTGTATGGCATTGCGCATGCCTGGGGCCTAGAGTGTTCTAGGCTAGGGATGAGGGAGTCGGTGGGGCGTCTACTAGGCTCCGGTGGGCTGGACTTCCACACTTTTCTTTAATGGGTCTTAACACCGTTTTTCCTTCTCGTACAAAGCTTGCTGGAAGTGTCGCGCTTACTGTTTTTCATCCTTATATATTATTGTTTTTATGGAACCCCAGATCTTGGCATTTTGATAAATGGCAACTTAAGCCCTGTTCCGCACGCCACAAGTACTGTATCGTACAGTGGGCATTTCCACTTTTCGGCTTATTTTCATGATATTTTTATATTATGTAGATAGTTAAGTGTTCGGGATACTATAAATACTTTAGCATTTTCCCTAAATCAATCAAGTATGAAGTTGGTTTATTGTCCAATTCTTTTTAACACGCGATTGGGACACTGTAAAATTCTTTAAGACCCTATTGAGTAGGTAGTATTGCAATAAGAATTATGGTGCTTCTGAAAGCCATTATTTCAAGAGGTATCACAGACCTTACTCTTATTTCGGCATATAAGCCATTTTCATGAAACACGTTGACGTTTTTACATTGGCGCGTGCAGAACGGGGCATTTCCTTATGATATTGGTTCACGAGTCTGATGTGAAAAAAAAAAGAGTGACCCAAATCGGGTGATATATCGTATTATAACTTTTGGTGGAACATGATACTGTAGAGCGGGGTTGGTGTTTCTATCCAACCGTTTTCGACGAATCCCACCACCACCGTTTGCCACATTCTGGAAACATTGTGGACTTCAATCCTGCGATCTTTCCTATCATACGCTCCCGTTTCTAGCTTCTTCCCGCTTAGCGGCACGCAATCCCGCACTTCCCTCCCTTTCACCCGCCTTTTGCCACCTGGTCTCAAGTCGAGATGTCGTGATTTTGCCCGAAATACGGAAACGGAATTGCGTGCTATGTAGTTGATGATTCCCTCTTTTCGAGAAGGGGCTAGATGTGCGACGGAAAAGAGCTGCTCAGCCTCTTCTGAGGGATGTGAAAAACAGAGGAAACGGCGGACCTCCACTAGAGGGGGCAAAACTAACTAACGGCATAGCAAGCAGTTCTATTATTCGAGATTTTGGGGTGTCATGGGAAAAGCATTCTACAATGTGCAGCTTCGGAAGGCGGGGGTCAGTAGTTTGATCTTTTCTTCTTCCTGACTGACTCGTCGGGGGGGGGGCGTCCAGGTATAGCGCTATAAGATAAGATTGTTATATCCTGCATGAAAGAAGCTACACCAGTTTTTTTTCTTTTCATTTTTTTCAGCACGACACTTACCGCCAATGCAGGTCTTCTCCCGAATTCACAGAATATAACTCGTTGTGGTGGGCGTCTGGGGGGAGGGAGGGAGGAAGGGTTCAATGGCCCTGCCGATATCCTGCAGCTACTTCCCCGCGGGATCTCACCGATCCTTTTTCCCGCCCTCTCCCAGCCGTTTTTTTTAAAACCCTTCCCTTAACATATTGGAGCGCTAAGGGTTGAAAAAAAATGTCCGGGCCCACTTCTAGATGGAGATGTGGCATTTATGTGCAGAAATAAACTTGCAGGAAGTGTTACACTCCCTGTCCCGGATGCATTCTTAAGATTTTGACCGCCCGGGAGAGCGGGGTGCTACTGTACTTCGGTGTGGCGGATGGTGCGGATGTGCCCGGACACCTGCCTTACTGCTCGGCGCATCAAGATTCAGGAAATGATGAGGGTTATGTTGCTGCATATAGACACTGCTTATTGGAATGAGTAGGAGGGTCTTAGGTGCATGTATCGGGCATGCAATCAAGAAACACGCTCTCTACCCTCGATCTACACCGCTTCACATATATTCCCACACCACTGCGCCTTCGATCTCCGGCTCCTCGCGCACTACCTCTAAAAAAAAACTAGATCGGCAAGTTCGAGTGATACCCCGTGAATGTGTCTTTGATGACGGCAAAAATTCGGGCCCACTTCCGAAAGGAGAAGCAGGGGTTAACACGCTGGGCGGGGACTTGGTGAATTGCGCTGCCGCGTCCGAGGTATCCGTTCGCCCGAGTATACGAAGGGTAGGATCTACAGAAGTCCGAAAGTGACGGGAGACTCAGATATCTAGGTCCTCTAGGATCGACGTTCTCACAGAAGATGGATGTCTGTTTCGGCTTTGAGTTTGAATTGGAGGTGGGGGGATTTTTAAGAGAGATCCAGGTGTGCCCTAGCTTATTCGGCTTCTGGAAGTACTTGGTGTTCACCATCTATGAGCTTGGGCGTTTGAGGTGGAATGGCACAACTATGGCTGCCCACTGGCGACGTGGATCGTCGGGCTGCGGGATCTAGGGACCTGGAGGCTTTTGGGTAAATCGGGCGGCATCCATTGATGCTTCGGCGATTATAGCGCAGTTCCCTTTTATCTCTGGCCCAAAACTTGCAACATATTCCAACCAGCAACTTTATTAGCCGAGTTTACTTTTAGCAGGGTGACCCGTTTGAGGGCTCTCCCAGGATCAGTCCTTAGAAGAGCTGTATACCTTCGATACCTGCTGTACACATTGAAAAACTTTCCAGGACCCTTTCTAGCCACGATCGTTGACTTTGGCATTCCAGGGTTGTGGATGCACTTTTTCGGGCAGGATTACATTGGGAATTTTGAGACTTTTATGATATCACGAGAGACATGGCAGGTCAAGTTTCCGGCGCATTGAAGAGCTTAAGGCTAATATGTCGATTTACGCCCTGTGACTTCTAACGCGAGCCAACGCTCTCATCATTGTAGATAGTCCAAGGGCGATTCCGATAATTGATCATGGCTCACCGGAGAAGGTGGAGGCATCAGAAGTGGAGGAGATTTTCAAGCTCGTCACACATACGGGCGTTATGGAAGAGGGAGCTAAATCCGATCTAAGATGTCTCGAATCTGTATATCTGTGCCCCCCGCTAATGTGGGAAAAGTCCCCGGTGTCTACCACTGAAGATCTCAACTTCCATCTTGGCACCAGCGTATCTTACTAGATATCTGTTCTAGGTTGGGGGGTTCGCTGATACAGGTGTTTTACATCTGATGATGATATACTCTGGATGGGCTTACCTTAGTAAGCAGCGACATGTCGTCCGTTTTCTTATGCGGATAAGTGTAGTCTTCTGATGAATAGCGTGCTCGGAAAAGCGGGCAGCGTATCAACTGTTGGAGTTGATAGAGACAGTGTGTTGTGGCTGGTCATGCAAGACACGGGAAGTGCGCTGGAAGGACAAAGCAGTTTACGGCAGTCATAGGGGTATGTTTCAGTATTTGGAAGTATGATAGGTTTGTCTGAAGGTCGGAAGAGGATTCTAGAGATATCTCTTTCCTTTGTTATCACGGATGTGGGCAGAGGAGTTCGGACATGTATGGAATGACAGAGATGGGTGTAGTGATCCGTAGGGGGATCAGGCTTGCTTTGATGATGTTTTCCTTATACACCTGTCATTACCGATTTGCTAGAGAGGGAGAGCAAGAGACGAAGTGCGTACGCAACTTTCCCAGCTATGCTACCACAGCGAGTCTCTATACTATTCCGTTCTTCTACCACTGCGCTTTCTGATGGCAGCCTCCATCACAACGTCAACAGGGGTCGGTAATGTTCCCCGGATCAACAGCTCCTCTCAAAGGAATGCAACAACATTGTCAGGTGCATACGATTGCTCCCCCGCATCATATTGAAAGTATTTTTCCTGGCCATCGAGAGTTTACAAGATGGCGTATATGGAGAGTGCAGCATATCAGATGGGGGGGAGGGGGGAAAACCCTCGCCAGCAATTCTCCGAATCGGTCCGTCCTGGAGCGGTCAATGATTCAGAAGAAAGAGTGAAAATGGGCGCGTGGATATGAAACACCAAGCAGAAAAAAGAAAAGAAAAAAGACGGCAGAGAACTGTGACCTCAAGTGTAAAACCTCCCTGTAAAACAAGGCCAATCACTCGCAGATCTGCACAGTCCGTCGGGGAAGGTTAAGGGGGGGGACCGGTATGATATATCAGATGGCTATAGCACATAGCCAAATGTAAACTTAACAAGCCATCCGGCCACAATTTTGATAGCACAGATGACGGCAGCAGTAACCACATCCCATCGCTCTAGAATATTCTTAGGGGCGATTTTCCCAGGTTTGGCGAAGCCTTGTTTGGGATAACTTATAGATAGAACCCCCTCCATCCCCTCACCATTTTCCGTTAAATTTTGTTTTCATTCCTACAGAACCCTCTCTATGGGACCGAAAGGACCGCTGTCCCGCATTTTCACACGTGTATAAAGGAAACACTGCACCATTCCGTGCCCTCCAGTATCGTCGATACGCATGCGGCGCCTAATGGGTGGATGTTAGGTCTGCAGCGGGCACATTCCCGGTGGGACAAGAGGTCTTTTGAACCTATTGGCTGCTTACCTTCGTGAGTTTGGAAAGCGCGGCGTTGTTCGGGGGTATTGGGATTCCATGGGGGGGGTGGAGAGGGATACTTTTTGGTAGGAGTCTGTATTGTTTGAATGTGTACGGTATGGCACTATCTTAATAACTTTGTACGAAAATACGACGTAGTAGAGAGAGTATACCATGGGCACGTTAAGCGAGGAGGAGTTTGGTATGAAGGTAGATTGGTAGTAGTTCTTGTCCTTAATCTCTTTAAGTGAGATGGGTGGTAACGCCTATTTATACAGGTGTGCATCCTTCAAGTAACCAAAAGAAAATATAAAGGAAAACATAAATGTCGACATGTTTAACCATAACATAAGTGGGAAAACATAAGTGTGAATGTGTTTGACCCTGAAGAACTGCCAAGGAAATTCTACAAAACATGTGTATGTCTGAAGTAGTGTGAACGGATAAACTGTAAGAAATAAACCTGAACACCAGATAAGAAAGCATGTCATAATCCCTAATCATATCATGAAATATCAAATGAAATATACATAATACATACTCCAGCTGTAGTAATGTTCATAATTAAGAAATAATACTAAGTAGAGGAATATACGATATTATCAAAGAATATATATATATGTTCTATCCCACTGGCAAAGAATTTTACTTTGCAAAGAGG